TACAGTTCATGGTTTGTAGGGCTTGAGACAAACCATCAGCCTGAGTTTGGACATAATGCTAAGCCAAACCATGGTTTAGCTCCAGATGGTGTAGTAGAAACAGGACCAAAGGAAGAATAAAGCTGCCACAATATTTACTGTGGGCACCTGCATCCTTGCATGTTCACATTTGGCCATGGTTCGGCTTGGAGTTATGTCCACACTGGGCTGAAGAGTCAATAGGTTTTCTGCAAAATGGAACCTTAAGGAATAACCATTTTATTATGGTGAAACAAACTTCCACAAACTACAGTCCACTTCATCAGATACATGATGAATCGGGTTTTCTGCAACTCTCTTAGAGCTGAAAAACTGAATGCTTAAAATAACGAAGCTCTGTATTTATATAGCACCGTAGAGTGCTGAATGAGCTTCCCATAATTATGTCAGGGATCCTTACTGCAAAGTAATCAGTACAACAGGCAAGTCGACATTATGGTCTCCATATTTCATGTTGGGAAAGGCAAGGACATCATGGTGTTTTCAGGCAGTGTTGCACCCAGGAAGGCTGCAGAATGCAGATCAGCTGTGAGATGATTTGTAGAATGAAAAAAGGACACCCACAAGCACTCCTCGTCCACTTGGAAGCCGCCAGTGAAAGAGGGGAGGCATTCCAAGTCTGGTAGCTGTTTCCTAGCAAAACATGAGACAATGAGACCTATAGTCTGGGGCTCCATCCAGGATTCTTTCTCCTGCCTTCTACTTTCCTTGAACCCACTCAATACAAATCCAAAATCTCAAATTTCTGCAAGACTGATAGTATGGACTGGCAAATCTGTCAATTTTAGTTAATACTACTACTAAAACTAATGTTAATACTAACAATAATTTATTATTTGTACCCCACCCATCTGACTGGGTTTTCCCAGCCACTCTGGGTGTCTTCCAGAATATATAAAAACATAATAAAACATTAAACATTAACAAGATTTCCTATACAGGGCTGTCTTCAGATGTCTTCTAAAGGTTATATAGTCACTCATCTCCTTGACATCTGATGGGGGGGAGGTGTTCCACAGGGTGAGCTCCACTACTGAGAAGGCCCTCTGCCTGATTTTCTTACTTTTCTATATCTGTTTGTGATTATTATTATTATTATTTAAAGTATTCATGAATATTCACCCATATTTTCCCCCTAATACATACCTTATTGCAAATAACTTTTCCTAATATTTTTCACGAATATGTGTGTTTTTATGCACACTTTACCCTAGTATATGAATCTGTGTGCACATTATTTGGAAAGAGAACTACACTGCAAAATCAAGAGATCTGTGAGTTCTGAAAGATGGCTGAGTTTCAGGCTGTGCATTGTTTAAGAAAGAGAGTACAGTGGTACCTCGGGTTACATACGCTTCAGGTTACAGATGCTTCAGGTTACAGACTCCACTAACCCAGAAATAGTGCTTCAGGTTAAGAACTTTGCTTCAGGGTGAGAACAGAAATCGTGCTCCGGTGGCACGGCAGCAGCAGGAGGCCCCATTAGCTAAAGTGGTGCTTCAGGTTAAGAGCAGTTTCAGGTTAAGAACGGACCTCCAGAACAAATTAAGTACTTAACACGAGGTACCACTGTACTAGGCAGGTTTGCATTTGAATATGTGCAGAACTGAATCTTTCCCCCATCCTTAGCCGAGACACCTTCCTTGAAACTCAGCTCTTACATGATGCCCAGCCCCAGCCTGGCTCTTTTTCAGCCACCTCTCTTCCCCACCCCCTGCCACCGCCCCACAACTGCAGTCGAGGACAAGTCCAATTCCCTCTGGCCCAGTGTCTGATGACTCTGCAAATAAAATAATGTATAAAAAAACACATTACCCCCGCGACTTTCCAGCTACACTAACGTTTTACGTCCAGGTGCCTCAGGGTTTTAATTGAATGTCAAACATAATTTGAGGAAGGTAACGGAGAGTTCAAGCTACTGCCCTTCGAAAGCAATAGCGGCTCTGGCGATTGCAAATTTATCCACATGCTTGCCGCAGCAGAAGGCTGGGAGATTACTCTCCCCACACTCCACCCCACCCCGAAGATTTCTCCTCGCTGACACTTGGCCCCAGCAGCTCAACAGAGAAGGCAGAACTCCAAGCTGAGCTTTGGGGTTGAGCAGCTGAGATGAGCGAAGTATGTCTCCCCCACCACAGAAACATGTTATTTGTGTTCACTGCAGCCTGCCAAACAGCTTTTCAGGAGGCTGAGGAGAGTGCGAGCCACTGTAATGAATTTGGCGGCAAGTCAGGTGAGTGAGGTCAGGTCAGAGGGCAGGGAGGCAACCTGCAAAGGTCACAGGGCACTCCTACAGAGGCCACATTCAGCCCAACTCTGTTGTAAAGATCCCCGGGTTCATGTGATGTGATGTACTTTGAACACTCAACAGCACAACATAAAGGCCTCAAATAATAATTGTTGTTTTTCCCCCAAAAAAATTCAAATCAGCTAACAACTATCAGTCAAAAGCATGTTGGAAACTAAGGGAAGTGGCAAAACCACAGCCACGCAGCTGCAACAAGTCACAAGCAGCCACCAGTTTATGCAATCAAAGAGTATGGATAAAAAGTAGGTGCTTATTGGGTCCGGCAAGCTTCCCTGGGGCTGGCACTCTGTACCAGATACACCACCATGTAAATGAAGGCGTGTCAAGGAAGAAGAGGAGGAGGAGGAGCCACTTTCTTCAAGGTAAAAATGACTATCATTTATCTCTTCATGGGATTCTTCACTAACAGGTCTCAGGGCACGTCACAACCATATAAAAATACAGTAATTAGAAGCAGTTTAAAACAAATAATGCCCCCATCTCTCAAAACACACGTTTCAAAATGTATTTTGATATGTTTTATGAGTCAGGGGCTGTGTTGAAGCATATATAGGAAGAGCAGAAAACCAGTGGGCAGCTAAGTTCGGATTGTCAGTTTAGTCCGGGAGATAAGGATCATATTGGTTTGTATTAGAATTTGCAAAGATCAAATTCTATCCCAGAAAGGAAGGGAAGTCATTTGAGAGACCCCATCTTAAGGGGGCTGGCACACTTAGGCCAGTGTGCAAGAGAGGGCTCCAGATCAGGCAGGGTGGAGAGTGGAGCTGGAGGAACAACCTTTTCCCAAGGGAATCACTTCACAGGCGGTCGTCCGCTGGACCAGAGAGAAAAGGTTTCATTCCACTTTCAGCTTGCGCTACCGTCTAACAAGCAAATGGCCTCATTCAGCCTGGTTAATAGTCTGCTCGGGCTGAATTGCAGCTCCTTTATATTCCGGCTTGGAATAACAGGCACCTGGGCCATCATAGTCATGGGTAATTTGCCACGGGAAAAGGGGTCATTTTCCCTGTAAATTGTTTTCTATGTCTCTGCCAAGGCAGAGTGACAACAGGGCCTCCTCACACACTTCTGCCTCCTCACCAGCTCAGGGAGTGGAAGGTCAGCGGGGGAGAAGCAAGAGCGGCTCAGCTGGGGCAAAAGACTCGCTTAAGAAGCAGCACCTTCCAGCTCGGAAGATATGAGCACTAGAGAGAGATGTTGCCCTCCTTCTCTCATAAGGTGTTAATTCAGGACCACAAAACACATCCGTAACACACAAAAATGAGATACTTCTTTCTGAAACAGGACATAGTTAACTAATGGCACTGAAGTAGAGGTGGGGAAGTTTTTCCAATCTGAGGGCCACACACCATTGTGAGAAACTTTCTGGGGAGGGGGCATATGCTAGTGGTGGGTGGGGCCAAAGGTACCTACAGATCCAGCCTCCAATACTCATGGAGCTGTCAAGAAAACACCCTTCAGCTCCTTCAGAAGAGGGATTCAAGCCATATTTGCTTCTTGGGCACAGGAGCTCCCTGCTTCCCCTTATCCCATCCACACAACACAGAAATACAGGATCTTTGCACAAGTCACAGGTCAAATGCTTAGCCCTTCCATAGGTATGTGCACAAGATTTGCTGGGTGTGCCCTGGCACATCCTGTTCTAAAAACTGTGGATTGTGGCAAGGAGAAGAGGGTACGGACCAGGGAAGAGGTGGCTAGTGAGAGAGGAAGGCAAAAGGCAGCAGGGGGAGGGAAGCAGCCAGAGAGATGCGGGCAGAATAAAAAGGCTAGAATGGATCTGGAGTGGATCCTCAGCTTCTGCCTGCGTCCATTTCTGGAAGAGGTGGTGGGTTGATTGGCTCCAGTGGCAACAGCAGTAAGGGAAGAGGAGGGGCTACTGCTTCTGTAGCCAATCACCCCACCATCACTTCCAGAGATGGACACAGGCAGAAGCTGCAGATCCATTCCAGTGTTTTTCCTCTGCCTATATCTGTCTCATGGCTGTCTCCATGTGAGGTCCACTCATCACCTTTTGTGGAGAGAGATGGGTGGGGATGTGGAGCTGCTTTTGTAGTGCACAAGCAAGGAGGAGGAGGAGGAGATACCACCCTGGCCCTGGCCCTCCTGATCTGCCCTGCCTCTGGTCAGCTTGGCACTGGTCTTTTTCTCTGGAGAGGAGAGAAAATCTCTTGTTTTGGCTTTTTGACCTCTTGTGATATGGTTGTTTTGTTAGCCTTTTGCCTTTTTAACTTTACCATTTTTTTGTCTTGTCCTTTCTTGAAATAAATTTTTAAAAATATTCCCTGGATGTGCAACCCAACAAAATGTGCTGTGCATGCCTGTCAGCCCTTCCGTAGTCTCCATACTTCAGTGTCCACACTTCCTTTTACACAATGCATCACATGGCATGGTATAATAAAAAAAGTCTTGAATGGTTGACTGGTCAAATATTGTTATATTTTGCTCAAGTATTTTTAAAGAAAATGTTTTTAACCCATTTCAGCTCATCCCTGACACCAGTCATTAGTAGAACCAGTGAGTAATTCAAAATTATTTGAAGCACTCTGAACATACAAAGGGCAGAGACTTCCACAAGTGACCCTTTCTGTGACGTTTACTGCAGGACCCGTTTCCACAATGCCTGAACCCCCTACCATGCATCCACACTCACCGTATTTAATCTCCGGAGAGTATACATCATTCGCATTCCCAGAATGCAATTCGGTCACGCAGCAATCACTGCTGCTGCTGCTGCTGCTGCTGCTGCTGCTGCTTGTTGAGGGTGGTGTCAGAGCATTGGAGAGCGTCTGGTTGGATTGGGGAGGAGCCGGGAGGGTCTGGGGGGTCTGGCAGGTGCAGCCGGTTTGTGAGAGGCCACAGGATTGGCTGGTGCCCAGGCGAAGGCACTCTTCGAGCCAGCGGCACAAGATGCTGCAGGTGAACTGGCTGGAGTTGTTGTTGTTGATCAGGAGGACTTCCACGAAGCGGAACTCCACAGCCTCAGGGGGCAGGAGCCGGGTGGCCGCTTCAGGCTCCTCCGCCAGGCACAGCTGCACAAAGTTCTTGTCGAAGTGGAAAAAGGTGAAGGGGCCCCCTCCCTGGCACAGCTCCAACCTGACCTCCCCTCCGTCTTCCTCCTCTTCTTCCCGGGTTGAGGCTGTCACTTCTGGCTGGCTGCAGGTGTCGTTGGAGAGGTAATGGTCCAGTGGCAGCACCATGGGCGAGTAGTGGGTGCAGACCTGCTCCTCCCGGTTGAACCTGAGGTACAAGGAGTACTTGGTGGGGTCAGGGTTCTCCAGGGTCCACGAGCAGCCAGTGGAAACGGTGGGGAAGAGGTCCTTCAGTGAGAAGGAGCCGTAGAGAACCCCGGAGGCCAAGGCGGAGCAGGCGCTGGGAGCTGGGTCAAAGCCCCGGGACAGCCACAGGAGACACGATATCACAGACAGTAAGAGTGGTCCAGCAGGGTTCATCCTATGACATTTGCCCTTAAAAGAAGAAAAAGAAGAGTTTAACTGGGGGAAGAGTCTTAACCCTGGAATCTATTTTCAAAGTTGCAAGTCTAGGGTTGTTCAAATCTGACAATTTTGGTTTCTTCCGCTTAGCAATTTTCCAGTTCATTTCTCCACATTTTCATACCAGTTTGCAGATTGTCTTTTTTAATGTTCTTATGGAAATTTGGCAGCATTTTGCTGCCGATTTCTCCTAATACACTGGTACCTCGGGTAACATACACTTCAGGTTACAGACTCCGCTAACCCAGAAATTGTACCTTGAGTTAAGAACTTTGCTTCAGGATGAGAACAGAAATTGTGCTCCAGCGGTGCAGCGGCAGCAGGAGGCCCCATTAGCTAAAGTGGTGCTTCAGGTTAAGAACAGTTTCAGGTTAAGAACGGACCTCTGGAATGATTTAAGTACTTAACCCGAGGTATGACTGTATACATGCCCTTCTTTGTAGTTTGGCCTTATATACACATTTTTGCAAATGAAATTTCACTTATATAATGCATTTGTGGTATGTTATTTTCACATGCATTTTAATGCACACTTGCATATGCAATTTCATACACATTGAGTGGCTAGAGAACCACATTGAAAAATTCAAAAAAAGCATGAATTTTGAAGGGTTGCTATGTTTCAGAGAATTTGAATTAGACAGGGTTGCCCATAAATTCGCAGTGAATGGAATTTATCTCCCATCCCAAGGCCTGCAACCCAGCCCTGAAACACAGGAAGCTGAAGGTGCAAAAGGGGGCTAGAGCTGAAAAATAATGGTCAGGGGTGGGCTGTGCTTTCTGCTAACCCTGGAGCCACAGCAACTGGCAGGCTGTCCTTAGAGGGGGAAAATCCCAACTCTGGAGAAAGGCTGTGGCTTTGGGGCAAGCTGGAGCCTCGCTGCCTGAAATGTAACAATGGACAGAATTGTCAATTTTGGTTCTTCTTGGCTTGCCATTTTACCAAGCTTAGGTTCAGGTTGCCCAATATGTACATCTGTATGCAATTTTCATTTTTAAAATTCTGCACAAAAATGTGGGCATGCTTTGCATGCATTCCTTCCCGCATACATATTTTTGTACACAACTATTGCACAATACTTATAATTATTATTAATTGATTCCTAGGCCACTTAATGCCCAGACAGTTTCTAAGCAGTTTAACAAGACATAAATACTGATTGCACAACGTTGTTAAAATACAGAAGAATTGAAAACACAGCATATTTAAAACAATAGAATATACCCATTAAGATATTACTATAAAACTGATCATTATTAAAATGTGTGATAAAACAGCCCCATTAAAGCAACACATAGGGGCACTGTGGCTATTGGCACTTTTTCTGTTTGTTTGAGGGGTGTGCATTTTGAAGGGCAGTGGTGGTTTGCTTTGTGTTTTGGCTTGGGAAGTGCAAATAAGGCATAATTGCATTAAATGTGAACAAAATGAATTCTCCCCATCCCTCCAGGAATGCAAGGAGCAGGTAGAAAGACCTGAATGTGCCAGCAAGAGCAGGGTCCCCCCCCACTCCATCCCTGCCATATTCAGATATCCAACTCTGTCTCCCTCCAAGCCGACTCTGTGTAAAGTCTTGCTGGGCCTAAAATAACAGCATCTTTAGTTCATCATTATTATTGATGAAAAAACCTCTAAGCATGTGCAAAGTGCATTTTGCTCACAGCTGAGTAACAGAAACCAAACGTCTGCCTCCTTCAAGCCCCATCCCCCAAACTCACACACAAATGTATATTGGAACCACATTTCACACTCACCCCCCCCCAATGTATTTTTACACTGCAAAAACGGTAAATGCACCCCACCCTCTGAGATGGCTGCCTGTTGTTTCTCTGTACAAACCTCTTTCTCAGCTTGCCTCTTTCTGGTCAGGAAATATGACTTTTGCAGAGACAGTAAGGAATTTGTCCCTGGATGCTTTTGAATTGGGGGGGGGGGCTGCCTATGACTAATTGTTGAGCTATCATAGGGTTGCCATATTTGAAAAAGTGAAAATTCCGGACACAAAAGTTGCTGAGCTGCTTAAGGGGGCTGAATATCGGCTATGTCCAGAAAATTCCAGATATATGACAACCCTAATATTATCACATAATGATACGTTATGTGGTACTGCCCTTCTGAGGACTGTGCCACTTCAGAAAGCAAGTGAGAGACAGCATGACTGCATACTCTCCACGGAAGGGGTGAGGGGTGCTCAGAAAACTAACATGGCAAAAACAACATGAGGCTAGCTTCTTTCTCCCTGATTTCCTTTAGGGAATGTTTGACTGGGGGAGGAGGAGAATGACACACATGAAATGCTCCACATCCACCTCCATCTTCAAGAGGTACAATCCCAGGAGGTACAATCCCACATGATATTTTTTTCTAGCTGTGGATCAACCCAATTCCTTGCTAGAGTTTCCTTCTTTGTGGTTAAAGGAAGTACGACTTTGCTACCTGCCCAGATGGGTATCACAGCAATCACCTCCTTCCTTGCCACTGCTCCAGCATCAAAACTGAAGCATGAAGGAGGTCAGTGTGATCTGAAAAGCATGCAAGCCTAGGCTTCTAAACACCAGTTAGCCAAACTGCAGAGACCATAACATAGTTTCTCACGACTCGACTCCACCAAATGGTTTGGGGAGTGTCATCTCTTCTGTACAGAGGAACAACCCATTTACACTCACCCTCTAGAATTCTCTTCTCTTCTCTCCCCCCCTACCCCACCCCACCCCCTTGCCGCATTTTCGTTTTAATCTACCAAGCCGTTAAGTGCGAACAAGCTGGCCACGGGTAAGTGCTGTTTATAGAGTCATAAAGAGCCAGACCTCAGCCTCATAAACCCTGCAGGATGTGGAGTCGGGAAGCTGAGAGGTTTCCCAATCCAGGGAGGGAATGGAAACCCAGCAGAATTCCCAACAGCAGAACGGCTGTTGAAAGAAGCAATTCCAGTGCCAGGGCACCAGCATAAAATCATTTTTCAGGAGGAAGCACCAGAGTTGCTTTAAATGTCTGGGTATCCAGCTCCTCTGATTTTTCTGCCCTGAGAGTCCGTGTGCAAAGTCCATCAGCTAAAGAACAAAAGAATAGCCTGCTGGATCAGGCCAAACCATCTAGTCCAGCATCCAGTTCTCACAGTGGCCAACCAGACAACTATGGTAAGCCCACAAATAGGACCCAAGCACAAGAGTGCTCTCCTCCAATGGTTTCCAGCAAACAAGTTTTCAGAAGCATTCCTGTCTTCAGCCATGGATGCAGAAGATAGCAATCATGGCTAGTATCTGTTGATAGCCTACTTCTCCATGAATTTGTCTAAAAGTTGGTCGCCTTCACTGCCTCCTGTGGGAGAGAGTTCCATAGTTCAACTATGTTCTGAATAAAAAAGAACTTTCTTTAATTTGTCCTGAAACTTTTCTTTCTCCAAGCCATGTACTTCTCCCATGTCACCTCTCACTTGCCTTGCTCCTCCGAAGAGGGCATGGGGCTCAAGTTCAGCAATTCCATCATCTAGGGCCACAACTCATGCTGCCCCCTGTGCAGACACAAAATGAGAGCCAGGCTAGAGTTGCCTCTTCACCCCAAGAAAGATAAAAGGTGAAATCTGCAGGGTCTGCAACTGCAAATTGTGGGAACTGCAAAATTATGGGAAATTCTGGAAGGGAGGGGAAGGGGGAAAAGAAAAAAGAATTAATTCCAATGACGAAGAGATGAATTGGATACATTTCACCAAGACACAATACAGGCTTCTCACCTTTTAACTGTAATGGAAGATGCATGCATGCAAAAATTATCACTTGAAATTATGGAACTTGTGTGGTGTGATTGAGGCAGAGCATTGTGCATGGGGTGGTGGTAGGGACAGCAGAGTCTAGAGAGGCAGAGAGGGCAACCCCTATGCCCAAAAGAAGCAGGGAGAGTTGCAAGGAGAGCCAGGCCTATGGAATCCTGAACCCATATCTCAAACCAGAATGATTCATTTGCCAAAGAGATTATTGGCCCGACTAGAAAGCCTGGCTCAGCTTAACACACCCAGACACCAACACCTTTTAGCTCAGCCAGTAGAGCGTGTGACTCTTAAACTGAGGATCGTGAGTTTGAGTCCAAGATAGGGCAAAAAGATTCCTGCATTGCAGGGGATGGACTAGATGGCCCTCATAGTCCCTTGTAGCTCCACAATTCTATGGTGTCTACATTTGCATCTATGCATACACATGCACATCTTTGGGCCACACTGTGCTTGGGATATCACACAGGTTAGGCCAGCCTCTGCCTCAGTTGGCCTTACAAGCCACTCCAGTAGGTCTGCTACAAATCGAATCCAGTATTGTGTCCAGACCTGAAGGGCTCCAGCTCTGTATTTATTGTTTTATTTGTTTTATTGCCTTTATACCCCACCTTTCATCCGAAGAGCTCAAAGAGCACGGTTCTCTTCAACCCATTTTATACTCACAACAACCCCATGAGAGCCAGACTAGACTTGAGAGACTGTGAATGGCCCAAGGTTACGCAGTGAACTTCATGGCTGAGCAGGGATTCGAACTCCCAAGTCTTATTTTTATTGTTTTTTATTTTTTCCAAATCCTTTATTATTTTATTCACATAACATACATTCTTTATAGTAAACAACTCCAAAATAAGCAGACAACCCCAAAATAAAATCATATGTAACAAAACCATAAGTCTCATGTTTTCATTTACACTGATCTCCTCTCCGATAGTTGATATTTACTTGATATTTCTTGCTTTCTGCTTTCCTTATAGAATCTTTATAAAAATTTAAATCTCTTAAATCCTATACCAATCTTTAACAATTTCAATTAATCCCTTCACCTCCCTCCCCCACAACCCAGTACTTCCCTCCACCCGTGTGCGAACTCCCAAGTCTTAGTCCTACATTGAAACCACTGCACCACACTGCTTTCTTTCCTCACCACTCAACCCACCCAATCAAAATAGCCCCCAAAGCAGGATTGAACCAGAGGCTCTGGCAGTC